TTAGGGACTTTGGTGCACCATTTACATTAAATCGGGCGAAAATATATATGGGAGCTATATTTAAATCTGGCCCGATGGTCACGAAACTTAACACACATCATTCTAGACTTAATTCAGTACGTTATGCCGAATTTCGTGCAAATCGAATGAAATAAAGGACCTTTGATGTACTATTTACATTAAAATTTAACACACATCATTGTAGACTCAATTCAGTACGTTATGCAAAATTTCGTGCAAATCGAGATATATATAGAGACTTTGGTGCACTATTTACCTAAAATCGAACTAAAATATTTATGGAGCTATATCTAATTCTGAACCGATTTTTACGACATTAAACACACATTCATTAAATCAGACGAAAATATATATGGGAGCTATATCTAAATCTGAACCGATTTTTCCCAATTTGTTTACAATTTAACATGGACAGACAGGCCGAGCAGAAACCATAACAATTTAAGTTGGAGAATCATGCAAGTGTCATCAGAAGCGCAAAATCGTGGTGATATAAAGTAAATAGATGATCCAGGAGTAGAGTACTTAACCACTATAGGCTATCATCATTAAATACACAACATGTATTGATCGCCTCCTTCTTTAAAGTGGAGATAGAAGCAAAATCCAATTGAATAGAATATCACCAACAAATCCTGCTTTGGAAACCAATCGACTTTGTATTAGCATCTTTTATTTCAATTTTTTTTTGTATTTTAGCTTCATATTGCCTTGTCTAATACTAACATGTTTGTAATGATATGTTTTTTGATCATGTTTTAGTTTCTGACCTGCTTGACACAAACATAAAACTAAAGGGCCAGTATTATTAACATAACATATCTATTAAACAACAGCCTTATTTTTATGTCTACCATATATGCGGGAATCACATATTTGCATAAAATGAAAACAAATCATTCATTTACAACATATTATCCACGTACAAACACACACACATTTTTTTGCTTAAATATTTCGAGAATTTTTTAAAATATTTTTTTTGTCTTCTAGAGACGCCCGTCCAGCCGGCATATAGTTGTTATTATCACTCCATATCTATTTCGTGTTGTTATTGGCTTCTAATATCGCCTTTCTAGCCCGCCAACAAACCAACCAACCCGTCTGCCTACCATCTGTGTTCGTTTGTTATGCTATGCATGTAGTAGTGTGGGTGCTAAAGATAATATTTTCATTGTTGTTGCTGTTCTCAGAGCGCGCGATTGCTATTTTGTTATTGTAAGAAAGTACTTTGGCGATTTTTATATTTTTTCATCCGGTCTTTTCTTTTTATAAGTATGTATTTTTTACAACTTCATTCATTTGTTCGTTCTCATTGTATTTTGTTTGTTAGGCACACTAGTCCGGCACTGGTTTTGTTGGTGAGTCAAATTGTTTTGTAGTTTTTTTTTTGCCTTTCTATAAATGGGTGTGATTTTTGTGTTCTGTGCTGTTATTGTTATATACTCTTCAATTGTATGGTGGTTAGTCACTGCTTTGGAGATTTCGTTTTGAAGGTCTTCTACATATAGAAGACGAGGTTCTTTAATATATAGATTACCACATGTGGGTCTTATATAAAGAGAATGTCTATAACAGGGTCTATCAAAGATATCCATCGATGCTATCCATCGATAATCCCCTATGTGAATTGTATGAAAGATATTCTATTTTGTACAGAAAAAAATTATCAGATGTTTATTTTCTAATAACGTGGATGATATGTCGATAATAATGAATAATATATCCTCCATACTACGGTGGATTGTAAAAAAACATTAAGGGCCAAACACGAGTACCGGACTTGAAATTTGGCATAACAAAATTCCAAAATAGCTGAATCGACAATAGCTGAATCTATCACCTCAGCCCATTGTGTAAAAGCAATATTCTTTCGAAAAGGCGACGTTTGTTAGAATATATCCAAGTGGTGAAGGGTATCATAGTCCGACTTTACTAATTTCCTTACTTTTTTTATCATAAAAATAATGAAAAATAACAGCAAAATGGCTACCTCTATCACACATACAGGACTATATATTTGTTAATGAAATTTTACATAACTAAATCTCAATGTGGCCGTCATATGTCCTCTATAGCCTGACGGATTTAAACTTTTGTTTTGAATCAACTCTGGCCTAATGAGGAACACCCTTTCTTTCATCTGTCCCTAATGAAGAATAGATTCGTTGTGCAGATCAAGACCATCCCAATCCGACCACAAAACAAGTAATTCATTGTTAATATTATTCCAACCTCATTCTCAAAAAAGTAAGGTGCACCTGATCCCGCCGTACAATAAACAGCTATAAACAGAGGAAAAGAGGGTAAGAGGGGCTCTTCAGTGATGCAGATTTATCTGCACCACACATTTAGCATTTGCTGCTGTCTGTTCCTTGTTTTACAGGCGGGATTCGAAATTGGAGTTTTCCCATCCCATAAAACAATTACCCTTGTCAATTCTATTTTCCAGCAGAGTCGGTAGCGAACATTGCGACAAACCGTCGTTCCTTTCGAATGTGGTGAGCATTCTCCACTTTCTCATCTGAAATCCGTCGTTCTGGTTTTCCACCAACTTCAGTGTATTTTCCAGTCCCTTAAAAAGTGGTGGGATCCACACTGAGGTAACCATCCCCCTCGATATGTCGTGGACCACTCCGCAGACTTCTTAGTACGGCAGTTAACAACTTTGGGCCCTTTGTTTGTTAAAATTCGGCTTCATAGTCGGGACCCTGACTGCAAACCGTAGAACACTGATGGGCACGAGGTCTCTTGACACCCTAGCATTAGGGGCTCACTTTGGAAGGTAGTGAGCCAAAACCTATGACTGTTTATTTGATATTCACAGCTACCCAAATAATAATATTGGGTTTCCCACCATAACTCTTGTTACTACTTCATCTTCAAAAAAAAAGTAAGGCCAAATGACACGTTGCACACACATTTAGCATTTGCTGCTGTCTGTTCCTTGTTTTACTGGCGGGATTCGAAATTGGAGTTTTCCCATCCCATAAAACAATTACCCTTGTCAATTCTATTCCCCAGCAGAGTCGGTAGCGAACATTGCGACAAGACCGTCGTTACTTTCAAATGCGGTGAGCATTCTCCACGTCCTCATCTGAAATCCCTCGTTCTGGTTTTCCACCAACCTCAGTGTATTCTCCAGTCCCTTATAAAGTGGTGGGATCCACACTGAGGTAACCATCCCGCTCGAAATGTCGTGGACCACTACGGCTGCCAGTAACAGGTCACAGCTGTTAATTGTCTACTTAAGGAAGTCCGCAGACTCCTTAGTACGACAGTTAACAACTTTGGCCCCTTTGTTTGTTAAAATTCGGCTCCATAGTCGGGACCCTGACTGCAAACCGTAGAACACTGATGGGCACGAGGTCTTTTGACACCCTAGCATTAGGGGGCTCACTTTGGAAGGTAGTGAGCCAAAACCTATGACTCTTTATTTGATATTCACAGCTACCCAAAGAATAATATTAGTTTGCCCACCATAACTCTTGTTACTACTCCATCTTCAAAAAAGTAAGGCCAAATGACACATTGAGGATGGAAAGGCTTCTCAGCAATAACTCATGGGATTTCCGAGCTCCAGATACTCTCTAGCCGTCTTTAATTTAAAAAAAAAGTGAAATTTAGGGACTCCGCCTGTCCATACATCGCAAAATTTTGTCTCACGTTGAGGATGGAGAGTCTTCCCAAGAGCTATAAGTGTGCACCATTTCATTTAAATCGGAAAAATATATATGTGGGTACTATATATAAATCTGAACCGATTTTCACGAAACTTAGCACACCATATACCTTAAATCGGACGAAAATATATATGGGATCTATATCTAAATCTGAACCTTATCTAGATCTTCAACAAGAAACAATGCTTTCTTTTCATATTTTTTTGCCAGAAAACTTTCTTAAAGTCTTCTGAAGCTTGAGGCCATCTGTCGTTCTTCTGGGAGGTCTTAAGTGTCTGTATATAACATTCTCTAATTTTGTGGAATTTCTCCGATAGATGTTTTTTTATCTATTTTTGTTTTTCTTCTTCTTCATGATTTTGTTGTGCGTCATCATGTTTATTATTATTATTTTTCATTTAGTTGATAAAAAAAATTCATAGAATTCAAGAGAGCATTGTTCTCATTGGTCAGCGATTAAAATTGTCTCAACAATTTTGAATGACCGTTATTTTTTTATGTACAAATTGTTTATAAATTATTTTTAAACTTTTGTTTGAGGGTCTTGGTTGGTTACGCTCAATTGTGGGGTGGCTCTCCTCTGACCATTTCTTTGATCTTTCTAAAGAAGCTGTAATAAAAAGGAAAACAATAACCATCATGATTAGTCATTCGGTTGTCACTCAACTCCAGTCCAGTTGATAATGAAAACAACTATTTCCGAATTGTGAACAAGAAGAAGAATAACCGACAACAACCATCAATAACATTTACCCCTACGCTCTGTGAATGACTAATGCGGGCGGGTCAGTGAAGAAGGCATATTCTAATAGCCAATACTGATATGGTGTTAGTATATTAATTGGTTTGGGTGAGGCGGGGCGGGGCAGGGCAGGGCATATATTGTGACCTTAGAAAGAATGCGGTTTATTCTAACAAATTTTTGGCAGGAATTTTAATTTTTCAAAAAGGCATGCAGAATCTTTTTGCCGACATATAAATACCAATAGGTTCGAGTAGATCATAGAAGATGATCTTGAGATTATTGAAGTTATTCCTTCCAACCATTTAGCCGAACTTTTTAATGACATTTCCATATTTAAAGAACCCGCAGAAGTACTTTTCATACCATCAAATAAAAATTCATATAACTAATAAATTTCTTTTTTTTTCTTTCCAGATCACTTAATGTTCGCCGCAAATTGAAATCATCATCTCTTGGGAATATATCTTCCTCTATCTCTCTTCCCAAACACCCACATCTACCCTCTTTCACGGACGTTTTATTAAAATAAACGCACTCAGTCATTGGCATTGAGATTCAAATCACAAAAAAATGCCACTGCCCAAACGTTCTATTGAGCCGGTGCATGTGGCCCGTTCTGTCTATCAACAGGATGAATTACAATCTGTGGAATTGGAAACGGTGACAAATACAACGCTGACCAATATTATACGTCAGCTATCGTCACTCTCCAAACATGCCGAAGATGTTTTTGGTGAGCTGGCCCGTGATGTGGGCAATATTGGTGATCGTGCCAATTCACTGCAAGCTCGTATCGATCGTTTAGCCATTAAGGTAACGCAATTGGACAGTACCGTCGAGGAGGTACCACTTACAGATATTACACGAAAGAAAGCTTTTAAATCTGCCAAAAATTTCGATCAACAAATATTCTCTCGAGCCACTATGCCAGCACCAATGCTCGAAACCTATGCACAATGTGATAAACCACCACCGTTGGATAAACTCAATATTTATCGCGATGACGGCAAGGATGGCCTCAAATTCTACACAGATCCAAATTATTTCTTTGAATTGTGGCGTCAGGAAATGCTGAAGGACACGGAGCGGGTAATGCACGATAAGGGCAAGAAAATGCATAAGCCGCGACAGGATGGCGGTGCCAGTGGACGTGGTCACAAGAAACGGGTGCGGACGCCGCACAATACCCGAGAGAAACAACGACAAATTGCTATTGGTCATGGGGAGACTTTAATGCCAAATAATGTTATTTATCGTACCCCAAATTCGGTGGTTAATGAGGAAGCTGGTTATGGTAGTAAGTATAGTGTTTTATTATGTACCCTAAAAAAACAAGACAATTTTGTATGTGTTGGCAGTACGTCGTCGTGGTGATGTATCCTCCTCATCCTGCCCAACACACAACAACATTGTGGATAACAAAAAAAGTAAAATTTATAGGTTGTGGGTAGTTTTTTTTTGTTCTTATGTTTTATAGTTTTAATTAATTATAAGTTTTGTGTTGGTTTTTGTTATTTTTTGTTTTTAATTTTTGTATTTTGGGTAATGTAATAATGTACGACAATAGTCGCACACACCAAGCAGCAGCACTTTTATTCAAATGTATTCTACAACAGAGGGTGTTGTCCGTTTGCAAAGCCTTAGGGACTATCGTCGAGTAAGGGGTGTTGTTGTTGGCCAACCTACATATATACGTACGTTGTCTAGTGTACATCAGCCATCATAGGTTGTTCTGGTGTAAGGTGTAATGTTGCTGTTGTTCTATTAACACCCAATGTTGTAATGGCACACACATGCGTCACTTTTAGGTGAATTATAAACAGTAGTAATTTCTATGCTAATTTTTCTGAAACAGGTTTTTTTGAGTATTTTTTTTTAATTAATGGATAGTGTTAATTAGCGAGAGTAGAAAATATTGTCTCATTGTCCACATTTACATGTATCATTCAATTCTCCACAATGGAAAGTATAATGTACGCGGTGTCAATCTTTGTGGATAGTTAGGCGGCTCTTAAAGTCATCAAATCCTGTAATATCAAATCTGAAGCCGTCCTCGAGTGTAGAGCAGTTTTGGAAACACTCACTTACAGCTTTTAATGTGTCAAGATCTATCTGGCCGATTATGTCAATCATGAGAACAAACTCACTGTTGAACTTGAGCAAAGCTGAAATTAGAGTAATGACAGAAGTCATTAATGGTAATTGCAATATCAGACCTTTACCAGTAAATGGGACCATGATGTTACTGATTACTGCAGACTCTGTGCTAACGAGTAGGAGACGGAGACAATTGAGCATCTCCTGTGTCGCTGTCCAGTACTGGCCTACAGACGGCACAGACTAGTGGGTGCCCACTTTCCACCGTCCCCAAGCTTATTTTCAACTATGGAACCTGCTTTAATCTACATCATCATTAGAAACATAAAGTGGTTGGGAAAGTGCAACCTTAGCACGTAATATGTTTTCTGTCCAATTTCTATAGCCATCGAAACTATTCCCACCTTCCTCCTAATACTTCCTATTAGCTTATCCTCTTAGAGAATATCATAAGAGGACTGCTCAATAGGGTATCATCTCGCTCCAACAACTCGAAATATAGATGAACGTCAAATATCGAAATTCAGATCTAACATCCCAGCAGAGGCAGATGGAGTATCAAATGCTTTTGTTTGTTTCTCCGTTTGTAAATCATCGAAGTAAAATTCTATGACAATTTAGCCCATATGTCCGCCTGTCTGTTGTAATAATTCTAGCCTCGAAACAAATTGATTTAGATAGCCTGTACCCCCAATTTTCTGTATTTTGGGGTTCTTGAGCGTGTTTTTCAACCGAATTCGCTGTAATTTGGTATTTTGTAGTCATTTATGGTAACAAATCTTCCTCCCAAAAATTATTAATATTCACCCCTTTTAGGGGTAGTCCCCATATAATCTCCTTTTTATACCCTTCACCACACTGTGGACAGGGTATTATGTCTTTGTGCATATGTTTGTAACAGGCAAAAGGAAACGAGATAGACAGACACATGGTTCCTTTTGAGAATATGTATAGAATCACATTCTGAGTCGATTTATGCATGTCCGTCCGTCTGTCCATGCTAAATTGTAAACAAAGTACAGATCGCATTTGTCATTCGATTTGGATGAAATTTGGCACAACTCATTTATTTGGCCCATGGACGAATTCTATTGAAATTGGGAAAAATCGGTTCAGATTTAGATATATTTTCGTCTGATTTTATGTAAATGGTGCACAAAACATCCAATAATTGTGCGAATGAGACAAAATTTTGCACAGAGTACTGAATTAGGCCCCGATTGATGTATGCGAAGTTTTGTTGGAATCGGTTCAGATTTAGATACAGCTCCCATATACAGTTTCGCTCGATTTTAGGTAAATGGTGTACCAAAGTCCCAGTATATCTTTCGGTTTGCTCGAAATTTGGCATAGCGTACCGAATTAAGTCTAGAATGATGTGTGTTAAGTTCCGTGGAAATCAGTTCAGATTTAGATATAGCTCCCATATATATATTTGGCCGATTTAATATCTGTGGTGTACCAAAGTCTCATATATTTTTAGATGTACACGAAATTTGGCATATCATACTGAATTGAGTCTGGGATGGCGTGTGCTAAGTTCCGTGAACATCGGTTCAGATTTAGATATAGCTGTCATATATACATTTTCGTCCGATTTAATGTAAACGGTGCGCCAAAGTCCCTAAATATCTTTCGATTTGCACGAAATTTGGCATAGCGTACTAAATTAAGTCTGGGATAATGTGTGTTAATTTTCGTGAAAATCGGTTCTGATTTAGATATAGCTTCCATATATATTTTCGTCCGATTTAATGTAAATGGTGGACCCTGTATAGCTTTAAATTTGCACGAAATTTGACATTGCGCACTAAATTAAGTCTAGAAGGATGTGTGTTAAGTTTCGTGAATATCGATTCAGATTTAGACATAGCTCCAACATATACTTTCGTCCGATTTAATGTAAATGGTGCGCCAAAGTCCCTAAATATCTTTCGATATGCACGCAATATGGCATAACGTACTGAATTGAGCCTTGAATGATATGTGCTAAGTTTTGTGAAAGCCGGTTCAGATTTAGACATAGTTCTCATATTTTCGTCCGAATTTGTGTAAATAGTGTACCAAAGCCCTATATTTCTTTCGCATAATGTACGGAATTAAGTCTAGAATGATGTGTTCTAAGTTTAGTGAAAATCGGTTCAGATTTGAATATATCTTCCATATATATTTTTGGCCGATTTTCTGTAAATGGCACACGAAACTCCCAAGGTTTGTCCGATTGAGACGAAATTTGGCAAAACATTTTGAATTGAGTCTAGAACAACGTGTGTTGAGTTTTGTAGAAATCGTTTCAGATTTATATATAGCTCCCATATATATCTTCGGCTGATTTTATGTAAATGGTGCACCAAACATCCGGGGATTTTCCGATTTAGACGAAATTTTGCAGAACGTTTATATTTTTAGCATAGAATAAAGAGTGTTGAGTTTCAATGAAATCGGTTGGGATTTAGATATATTTCGGTCGATTTTATGTAAATGGTGCACTAATGTTTGTCCGATTAAGACGAAATTTAGAATACAATACTGTATTAAAGTTATTATGTCGTGTGTCAAGTTTCGTTGATTTCGATTCAAATTTAGATATACCTCTATAGCTCTGATTTCCACAGGTTGACGGAATAAAACGAACTGAGAATAATTTGCTATTTTGTATGTTTATTTGGTATCCAATTATCCTACCAAAAATTTAGCATATTTTAGGTATTTTGACCAGCTCATGGTACGCATTAATTATTGCATTATTATGACATTTTTTTTCTTTTAATATCAAAATTATACCAAAATACAAAAATCACAAATATTTTCAAAAAATTAAATAATTCACTTTCGCTTTGTAGATTTTGTATCAGAAATACAATGATCTGAATACGATATGTAATGTTACAATACGCTCTATTGATTTTTTCAAATGTTCGTGAGACTCGACAATTTGTCGTATGCAGTAAAAAACATTTTTTTGTAAAAACGTGATTTGCTAGCTGTTTCCGGGCGAATGTGCGTTTTACTTTGTTACAATTTCAATTTTGAAATAATAACAGCCTGCCTATACGAAGTGATGCGTTGCCAATTACAACATTACGGTTGAATAGAGAGCAACTTTCTCCATGTTTAAGATGTGATGAAGATAATAAAATACAGTTATTTTTTCAATTTTTTTATTTTAATCAAAAGTACTAACTAAATATTGTGTTTTTCTTATTTTTGTTTCAATACTTTTTTATATAATTTTTTTTTTGGTGTGTGTGTAAAAACTCAACTAACCAATGTAACAACACTATCGCCAAAAAACAACCAACCAACAACAACAATGACATCGAACATAACAAATTTGTTGATTATTTTGTTATTGCCTCCACTCCACTCTACTCTCCACTCCACTGCACATACTAATTATTAGCACAACTTGTTGAAATCCAAACTACTGTCCCAGTGACAGCAGATAGTGAGAGTACAACATTACAACAGCAACAACAAGAAGACAAACAACTCCAACAACTTCTACTGTTACTGCAACAAGAAGAAGATGAACGCGATCAAACAGAAGGTGGTGGTGGTCATGATGATGATGGTGATATATTTTTCTTAAAACGCAATCGTCGTCGTCACAAAAATCGTCAATATTTTGTGGTCAGCAACACAAGTGGTGGCGACAACAGCAGCAACAAATTTGATGAATTTACATGTAGGTACGATAACGCAGTGACAGCGTTTTAGTTTGTTCGTTACTATATGCAAGCTATATCATTCGCGGGCCAAGCTAGCCTAGCCTAGCTAGTAGCTATACTAGTCATTCAACCAGCCAGCCAGTCAATCAAGCAGCCACCAACCAACCATTAATCCATTTTATTCTCTCTCTCTCTTCTATCTCCATTTCAAGTTAAAAATCCCATCAAGCAAACATTTCATGCTGCTGCTGCCACAGCAAAAGAATTAATGCTAAGCTCAAAAAATAAAAAAGAAGCAAATGCTAAGCGCAAAAACATGAAATCAATGCCTTTTAAAACGAAATCGAAACTCTAGCCTGTATATTTATACTCTTCTTCTTCTTCACAACTACTGTTTGTTCTAGTTCTAGTTTTTCCCTAGCGCTCCCAACTACCTCCACCTGCTGCCTGCCCTCAACATTTCATTGTATATTTTACAAATATGATGTACCTCACACACTTTCAAAACTTGTTCTAAATGACAGATTGT